CCCCCGCGGGTTTCCCCCCGCCCCTCCCTGTGGGGGGCCTGGCGGGGAAAAGGGGGGGGGGGGGGGGAGGCTGCAGCAGGGAAAATTGATTTTATGGTTATTTTGTGCATTGGTTCAGGCTGGGAATGACATTTTAGGCATTAAATGGAGCTGTGTGACTTTATTAACGATACAGGTTCAGCGCTGGCTTCCATGAGCCGCCCTCATTTTTTCCTGAGGTTTATCCAGCAGTAACAACGATGGCGAAATTAAAATGTGGTTTGTTTGCCTACTCAGCTCCTCAGTCGGAAAAGCAAAAGTAAGGATTGTCCCCGTAAAACGGCCATCCTAAAAAAAAAAGAATTTGTGTTGTAAATTCCTCTTTTTGTCCGTGTTGTGCTGCCCCTGGTCAATGGAGCAGACGCAGGCCTTGAGCGTGCGGAGCTGCACCGCGATTCGGGAGCCGGCATGGTGGGAGAGCACCAGCTGGATGCGTGGTGGTTGACGTTGGGTGTATCTGAGGTGTACCTGCAGTGGTACAAGCCATAAGTACGTGTGGAGAATGAAGGCTCTGATTTGAATGGAACAGAGTGCGTGATTAAAATGAGAAAACACACATAAGTGGTTGCAAGATCGGGGGCCTAAGGCGTTCTTTTGTTCCATTACATGTGTTGAGGTAAAGGTTGTGAAAGTACATGATTGTCTTCAACAGCAGATCTTAAAGTCATATTTTTGGCCAGAACAAAGTGGGAAAGATACTTCTGGTTGTGCGTGTTCAATGAAAAAGATAAATTGATTGACATCATATAGTTACACCCAACATCTAGGTATGACTTAAAATTTTTGGAACAGCATTGGTAATTGAGCAAGCGATGCTTGTAAAAGTAAATATATCCATTTAATGACAGGCCTTTGTAAATAACATATGCCATAAAAATGACTCATTAAATATATTTGCTCTCTTAACTAGTTAAATTTCACGACAAAGCACAATGAGGACAATGCAGCCAGCTGTACAGAGATCTCTCTTTGTGAACTACTATAACATGACTGATTGTGTAATTTAAAAAATTACATTTCAGCTTTGCCCAGCTTAGTACAGTATATCATATTGTGATTACATTTTTTAAGGGGTCTAGTAGTATTTGCTAGAGACTACAAAATAATTAAGCACACTTTGCGTTATTGTGTGTTTTAATATATGCAAATATCACATCCTAGGCCCTTCATAATTTACCTTCGTGAATGTGGTGAGATTTTTGTGTTGGCCTACCCAACCACTGTTACAAACACCTTGCAATGCTGAATAGTATTTGAAATGTACATTATAAAATGTTATTTAAATCTTCAGATATTGAGAAGTAGGTACTCTCACTAAAATTCAATAGCTCCCGTTATAACCTGAACATTCTCTCTGGAAGTATAGCAGCTTCAGGAAGGTGATTTTTAATTTTCTTCCAAACAAGAAAACGTAGCTACAGTATATTTAAAACTTCATTAAGATACATCCATGACCCTTTCTTTGAATACAATGAATGCACCTATTTCTATACAGTGATACATTAGTGCATGTACATGTTTTCAAAGACACAATACTTAATGTTGCAAAGTTTTAGAGATTTTTAATTTTGTCAGTCAAGGCCTATATAGCATAAAAAACAGAGTTACCATAAATAGTAATATATGTTAAGACCTCTTTGAATGTTTCCTTTATTTCCTCTTTATTTCCTAGATGACTGGTTAAGTTTCCTCATTTGTCTGATGGAGCAGGCCTTGTCTTACTTTCATGTTTGCATTTCTGTCTTTTTTGTGTTATACACTAAATGTGCTGGATAGATATTGTCTGGTTTTAGAGCTCGCAGCAGTGAAAAGTTGCAATGACCAAGCTATTTGTAATTAGGGATCCCATCCAGATACCAAAACTGCAGCTTCCTTTTAACCCCAAACATGACTTTCTGAGCATCGTCACATATCCTGCTTAAGGCCGTGCAATGAGGGAATGTCCCCATTTTGGATTGCGTAGGCTGTTTTAGGTACAGGGCTGCAGCAACAGGGCAAGGTGTGTTTCTTGGTTGGCACGCACGCTGCCAACCTTTTGTGGCGCGATGCAGCTGGACAGCAGCTGGATGGGGGAGATCTTGGAACCAGAAAGAGGGTCTGTTGGGAAAGGATATAGAGTAGCAGAGTATCAGGAGACAGAAAGTCAGCTGCATAACCTTCGTGCAGTCTGTGTGATACATTACAGGTCTGTTAGACAGTTGGGCAGCGGTGACTAACAGAGATGACTGGTGCTGGATTTGAGGGTGGTTAAGTGCTCTCAAAAGCCCAAACGTGCTTCATACAGGCCACTTACAGTGAAACAAACTTCAAGGCTAGAATCCTGGCCGGATTGACAAAAGCCCTCTAAATTTCAATTGGGCTGGGATTTCATACCAGAAATGCTTTCTAAAATGGTTATGAAAATAGGTTGGTCCTGCCTGCCCTTCAATTAGCATTTATGCTATTTTTAGCATTTATGCGAGATTTGTTGCTCTTCTAAGTTGTAGCCACCTTTTTTAGTTTGGATGGAGTTTAAAAGAGTCTGAACAATGTTGTGCTGAATTATTGCTAAGTGATAACTCAGCATACAGTTGAACATAGCTCTGCAGCATGAAGACCCATTAGCAAAACGTGAGCCAGCTTACCAAAATGCTTACAATTTGCCAGAATACACCCCAATATATATCTTTATCACTTCTAAACCCTCAATTCCTGAATACCTGTCATCCTCAGAGATCCACGCAAGTTATCTGAAGAACTACTATTTTAAAAATTATTAAATTTAAGAGTCTTTCTCTGTATGTGGCATATTTTTCTCCCTCTACCTGACATGGAGACTTGAAGAGTAACTTAAGCTACAATAAACAGGTACTGCAGTTTGCAGTCCACCTTTCCCTGTCTTCTACAGCCTTGGGGAAACATAGGCATCCCTGTGGCCCTATGGTGAATTACATCAGGGAACCAGACCAGGTTATAAGTATACAAGCAAAAAAGTGAGTTTTCTGTTAGATCAAGCCCTCCTCATCTGGCCACAAATGTTCTGCACACGCTGTCCATGTTTTTACAAAATGCTGAATCAAGTTGAAGGCCGTGTATATCTACAGTAAGCCACCTGGTCCCTATCCGTCTCCCAACAGACTCCCTAAACTGGCCTCTCAGTCTTACTGCTTCTGCCCCACCCATCTGATCTTAGCCACTGTGTTTCTGATAATAATTGGGGTTTTTCCTGAAGACTGGCTTGATCGTTTGGGATACAGTTTTCTTGGTCCTGAGTTCAGGCTCTTCCTTTTTCTCTTCCCTGCTTTGTTGCATCTTTGGATTCTGCCTGCTGCTGTGGAGGCTGCGGTTCCTCACCAGAGCTTTCCCCTGGTCTCGCACACCTTTGGCTCTGCTTCATCGCGTGGTCTTTGACTGCCCCATTGCCTCGTTCTTTGGACCTGCACATTGTCCTGGCTTTTCTGGTTGTTGGCGTCTGATCCACAATTAGTTTTTTGTCCATTCCTGCACTGAATAGGAACCGCCTCCATCTTGGGAGACACATGGCGGCTGCGGCGTAGCTGGGGAACTGCCTCAGGAGATGCTGGCTGATACCAGCCTTGCCCTGGTGTTCTTCTCAGGAGCTCTCTTGTGCGACCAACAATTTAAGGCTTCTCCGAGGCCACGATTTGAGCACATCACCTTTGTGACTGTTTAATGAAACCACTTAGCGCTATTTGGGGGCGGGTGGAAGGCACCCAGACCTGCTGGCGCAAGACCGGGAGCTTGGCTCTGTGGTCGAGTGCCCTCTGCCCAGGGACACCTGGCGAGGGCGCGGCCCTCCCCTCACGGTCTGGGTCTGCCGCCCTCGGGGCAGGGCTCCGCGGGGCCCGGGCCGCGGCAGGTTGC